AAAAAAAAAAAATGTTTCCCCATGTGCAAAAAACCCTAGAAGCCAATCGTAGTTGAAATACCTGCTGAGCTTCTTTAACATGGATTATTTAGCTAACTAACCATATCAGCAGTGTCAAGGTCTGCTCTCAAACGACTAATGACCTCATTTTTCTCTTTTAGTTGAGTTTGCAGGAGTTCAGCCCCATCTCTAACAGTGTCATAGCTTCGCTGAAGCTTCACAATGTGTTCCTAAAAATGTTCAAGATCAATAAAATGATTCAAAAATTTATTCTTTTTAAACAAGTGGACTAACCCAAAGAGAACAAATAATGAACTTTTCATAAAAGCTTACTTCGTTCAGAGCCAAACGTTCCCGCTTTTCAGTTAAACTGCATTTTGCATCTTTCAGCTCCTGCTCCAGATTCTGAAGCTGTTCTGTAAGATGGGAATTTTCCATTTCCAACCGTGTATAATCTCCTGTTTTAGAAGTGAATGACTCCAACTTCACGAAAAGCCTGCAATTAATAGTAAGGCACAAAACCATAAGTGAAAAGGACGAGAATAGGTGACATACCAAAGAAAATGAAATGGATAAAAAACGTACCTTTTATTTTCCTCATCTAGTCGTCTGAGTTTCTTTTCCAAATCATCATATTCGATTTCTTTGGCAGTAAGGGATTCTGTAAGCTCCTAAAAATGATTTCTTCCAGCATAGTGAAGCAAAGTTTTAAGAACGAGCGACAAACGGAAAACCATACTTTTATCCTTTTTTCCTTTTCACGAAGTTTCCTGTTGGCACGAGCAACAGGAGTAGAAACGGCTTCAGACAAGGGACTATGGCTATGAGGACCCGTTGAAAATGCAATTCGGCTCTACAAACAAAATTCACTTTTTCCTGCGGAAAAAGAAGGAACTGTCATTGAACCTAGACATTTTACGAACGGCTTAACACGCAAAGAAGTCTTTCACCTTACTACTACGTAAAAAGCTGAAATGAGTCTTTCTTCACTTACGCGAGCATTTTTGGGTGACTCGTAACACAGTTTTGAGGGGTCCATCAGAATTGCTGGCCAAGATTTAAAGGTGTCCCACAAATCGGGATCATCCAAGTAGTTTAACATATCTGCTATCTTTCGTTGGCAATCATCACTCAGTCTACTGTTAATTAAGGCGTCCCCTCCAAACGCTTCTGGGTAAGTACAACGAAGCTCGTTCAGCAAAGCAAGCAAGAATTTACATATCTAAAGGATGTTATTTCACCATAAAAGATAAAACAATGTAAAAAGATATCTCAGTAAGCGAGTAAAAATACCAGTAACAGAAATTCAGCTAAAAGTAACTCCATCTATAGAAAATCGATTACAAATCCAGCTTACCTCAAACGGATCTCCACCAGCAGCTTGCTTTTCATCTAAATATTTGCTTGGACATAAAACGGAGTCAAATCTCAGTAAAACTTCTTTCGCTTTTTGGTACGCCTGTAAAGGTTCAGCTGATGCTCCAATACACTGCAGCTGCTTCGTGTAGCTAGAAAAAACCAAAATATTTCACAATTCTAATCCCAAGAGAAATAAGCAGTAAATCTACCCCATGAAGATCAAACTGCAATTTTAATATTCAAACAGTCAAAAAACCAACATAGTCCCTGCTAGCATCGGAACATGACGACCGGCCAACTCTGTTAAACTTCCAACTTCTGCCAGTTCTGCTTTCACTCCAATGGCTACAACCTGTGATAGATGTACAGTAGTACAAGACTGGAACAAAAAGTGGTGAACTGCTAAAATCTAAAAAAATAAACTTACAAAATGAAGCAGAGCTTCGCCTTTATTCTTATCGAATCCACCGCCAGCCAAGGACATGTGGATATGAATAAGTAGCTAAAGGTGCAGCCAGCAGCAAATACTAAAAAGAAACGCAATTAACTCCCGCCGGTTGAACCAGGGATGATCACTCCTCTGCTTAACGCACTCATTCAAAAACCTGAATTCCCCTTCTTTCGATGGCCTAATCTTATATGTCACAATGTTCTAGACTAAGTTTCAGTCACTTATCGTAACTTTAACTATATCATGTTTACTTCCTCCTACTTTACAAAAATCTAGCGTTTATCAAAGTTCAGGTCACTGACTGGTGAATAGAGCAGGTTCAAGTAACCTTAAGTCAGAGATGATAACAATTCATCGACAAACAAAAAACTAGTTTTATGTTAAACTGCATTGAGCAATAATTACGTCTTAAAAACAAATTTACAAGACTATTTTTATCATAAAAACGAAAAAATCAGGAGATT